GGATGTGAAGCAGCTTTCTGAAGACTTGATGGGGTGTGAATGGAAGACCACTTCTGAGCACTGTCTGCATTTGCTGTACAGTTAAACACTGGCATACCCAGCAATTCCAGAACTAGGCGTGCCCCCAGAAAATGCATTCACAAGTGCATCAGAAAACACATACAAGAATGCCTGCAATAACATTATTCATAATTGTCTCAAACTGGACACACTTCAAATCCCTAAAACAGTAGGAAAAAGAAATGTGGTATGTGCAAACAATGGACTACCATAAAGCAAGCATGACAGACAATATTACATGATTCCACTTGTATGAAACTTAAAAATCAAGAAATACTAATCAGGACAGTGATGACTTTGGGGAGAAGGAGTGTACTTCAAAGGTACTTGTTCTAGATGGTGGTCACCAAGGTGTGTGTTTATTTTGTGATAATTCAATGAGCTGTAAAAACTTGTGACTTGTATACATTTATATGTATATGTGTTATATTTCAATAAAAAGTTAAGAAAAGTTTTAAAAAATACAAATTGACTAATGAATGGATTAACAAATGAATATTAAGAAAAGGTTTCTTTCTGATTTAACTGGGGCATCATCTGGACTTTGGCACTGTCCCTTACCATGATTAGTAAGTCTTTTAGTAAGTGTGTGACCTGGGTTTGTAAATTGTACTTGCTTGTTGCATTGATGTTTGCCTGTAGTGATTCTTAGTTTGTAAAATATTAACCTTGGGCTGAAATTAGCAGATATATTTTTTGCAAACTACTCCCAGATTTTAAAGCTTGTAATAAAATTGAAAAGTATGGGTTTTTAATGTCTTTTTGAGCTCTCATAATTGAGTTTTGATCACACTCTATAGTAGAGTGGCTAACACATGGTAAAAAAAAAAAGAAAGACAAAAGAAAGAGGACTCCCATTCTTAAAGCTCATCAGCTCAGACAGAGGAACAGATGTATTTTTTGTCCCTCCACCAACACAAAGTGAAATTAGGGAGTCCATTTCAGACCAGAGAAGACAGGGAATGTACTTGAAACAAAAGGAGTTTTGGCACCTGCGTGGGAATATTCCTTCAGGGCCGTGTTCTGAGGTAGACTAACAGATCATTGGCTCCAATTATCATAACCATTAACCAGTAAATGAATGAGGAAGAAGGCCCCACATACAAGAAAAGTAACCTGGGTCTATTAAAAGGAAGAACAGTGAAAGCGTCGGTGTCCCCTTCATTAGCTTCCTCTGGCAAGCTGTGTTTTTTAGAAGAAGTAGGCTTATTTAGATATCATCATCCAACATGTTGGGAGGGGGACTATTAGCCTGGTGAGTGGCCAAACGTATTCTGTCAATGTCAGGATCCTGATTTAGGGTCATTAAGGCCTGGACATAGGGTACCTCAGTCCATTTGCCCTTTTTCCTGCAGAAGAGATCTAAATGGTAGATCGTATTGAAACTCAGCCTCTCATGAATGGCCATTTTTCCTCATCTAATAAGAGGCCATGAATGGTTACAGAGAAAATCAGTCTTGTCTTTCTTAAATCTTGTGATCTGAATTGATGCTAGTGGGTTAAAGACACCCCAAAGGAGAGCTCTTGGGGACTGAAAAAGGAGATCCCATGTTCCTAGAGAAGCAGAGCAGGTCCATTAGCAAGAAAATCTCCCATACTCCCCTGTGACACCCTATGCAGGATATGTCAGAGGATTCCAGTGTCAAACTAGCTGGAGGTGTGCCTAGAACAAAACTGCTGTGAACACTTCCAGCCTTGTAGGAAGGATGTAGGAGTGATGCTGTTGGCCCCCCTCCCCACAGCATTCTAGACTACAAATTGGTGCTGGTGAATTGGCTAAAATCTGGTGACATGCCATGAAAACCTGCCATTTTTAGCCTATAGAAAACACTAGAAAAGTTTTATGAGGAGAAATTACCAGATATTGTGATTCAAGCTGTGATTAGAGGACACTGATGAAAAATTGTAAAGATAGAAATCCATCATGGTCTAAGTAACATCCCAATGCAGGTAGTCTTTACAGCCAACTTCCCTAGGAAACAGCCCTTTGCTGGGTTCTTATTCAGTTTTGGCTGGCTCTCAGTGGAGGTCTTTTGGCCAGAAGTGGCTAGATAAGTGATGTGGAAGAGACCACATTGGACCAATGAGGAGGAAACCTCAGAGGAGAGTCTTAAGGTTGGCAGGCATCCTAGTGACTTAGGCAGCTGTCCTGTGCCCAACAAAGACAGCTTTGTATTAAGATTGGAATAAAGAGAAGGCATCAAGCTTCTGGGACTTATTACCATTTCGGCGAGGGTACTGGCTTCCAGTCAAAATGCAGGCTTTTTTCCCCTCCCCTGAGATCAGCCATGGGCTAGAGGGTTGCAGCTTGAGCAATCGACATGAAAGTGTTCCAATAAGACCTTATTCCTAGAATAGTCCCTGAAATGGAAGCACAGGAAGAGAACTTTGCACTGAGGTTGAAGTCCAGATAAGAAGAAAGGCCCCATGTTGGGAACCAAAATGATGTGAGGCTAGTGAGCAAATGGTCAAGATATAATTTTTAGAGTTTTCCATGCAAAAGGTGATTTTATTATAGCACAGGGACAGGACCCATGGGCAGAAAGAGCTGCACAGAGACTGTGAGCTATGACTGATCTTATACTTTTTAGTTAGTGGGGATAAGGGATAGGGATAAGGGATAAGGGGATAAGGGATAAGGGAATTTGGAAGCAAGGCTTCTAGGACCTTGAGGAGGCAGCTGCTGTTAAGATAAATTTATTTACTACTTTCTAGTAAAACATTAATCCTGAGACCCTTCAGATGTATATAGGTGGACCAATGTTCGTAAGGTAATTGCAATCATATTTTGGGTGGGGCTGTTTATGGTTATCACAGGGAAGTAAAACTAAAAAGAACAAAGCTATAGTGGTCAAACATGAAAGGAAGTCCTTAAGGGAGCTTCAGAAGTGTTGTGATCTGTAAGCCTGTAACCTACGAGCCACAGCAAATTCTAGGCTTTGTTCTGTTTTCTCTCATCAAGTGCTTATCCAAAGATAATGAAAATATGAATTTGATGAGGCATAAACACCCCCATATTTATTGTAATATTATTTATAATAGCTAAGATATGGAAGCCATCTACCAGTCCATTGACAGATGGACAGGGGGAGGTAGTATGTATAAATACAATAGAATTGTATGCAGCCAGAAGAAAGGATGAGATTGTGCTATTTGTGAAAACATGGATGGATCTAGAAGGTTTTATACTAAGTGAAAGAAGTCAGACTGGGAAAAACAAATACTGCGTGATTTTACTCATATGTGGAACACAAACAAACCAAATGAATAAGCAAACAAATGAAAGGCCAAATCAGACCTGTGAACACAGAACACAAACCCCTGCTTGCCAGAGGGGAGATGGAGTGCGGTGTGGGCCAAAGAGGGTGAAGAGAATGGGAGGTAGGCTCCCAGTTAGATGATAGGTACACCTGCGGAGAGCAAGTTTAACTTGTTGAATCAGCGTGTTGCCATCTGAAAAAAAAAACAACAACATTGTCTGTCAATTACACTCAGATAAAAATGAGCCATAAAAAATAAAAATAAATATTAGAGATTTTTTAAAAGTGGGTTTAATACTTCCTACAAACTTTCTACAAACTGGCACATTAGAAATTCATAGTTATTTTTAGCTTAGTCATTATTTTAAAGCCTAGGTGTTTCTCTGGAAGTGTTTCAATAGCACTTGAAGCTATTATATGCTATTATATTATATGCTAACAGCTATTATATGGCTGTTCAAGTAGAATGTGCAATCTTATCACCCCACTAGATAATTTATTTTGAGCAAGAAAAATCATTCATGGCCAGTGAATACTGTTTAGTAACAAATAGCTGGTCTGTGAGCCTGATGAACTGGCAGTGTGTGGGTTGGGGGAGTGAAGTTTGCTGTTTGGTGTCTTTTCTGCAATGTCTCCAGGTGTCTTTCCAGCGTCCTTCAGGAAAATCTTTCCTGTGCTTTGTCATTCCTTCCCCTCCTCTTCCAACATGGGATCCAAGGGCCAGCATTCAAGGGAAATAAGCTTTCTGGCCCAGTCATGCTAAGCCATTGTTGAATCCCAAGGTCCCCTTTATTCTTCTCTTTCATCCTGAGGTGTGTGGAGCTGGGGGCTGGGCTGGGCTTGGGGACTGGGGTGTGTGGTTAGGGAAGTGCTAGTGCAGCTTCAGCCCTCCTTCTTCTAGAAAGTTCCTGGATGAAGGCTTATTAGATGTAAGGGCTCATGTCTTCCTACATCTCTGTTGCATGTGTGAGAATGAAATGTCATAAGAACAACTGGTGTAGCCTAGGTCCTGGCACTTAGTAGGTACTCAATAAATTTGTGCTTTCCCCCCCCCCCTCTGTTCTTGTATAAAATTCCCCTAATGTCTCTCAGGCCTTAAGAAGGCTCCCTGTTGGGCAGGGAAAGTTGGTGGGAGTGGGGATGGAACTGGAGGTTAATATTGGTCCTTGTACATTCATTATTTTTCAATTAAGATGGGTTTTCCCAATACTCCTGACTCTAAGTGGATATTGGCAGAAATGCACATTTGGGGATAACAGCATCAGATGTGCTCAGGTATATCCAGAAGTCCTGGGTTTGCCCGGAGTTTTAATATGTCCGACCAGACATCTGGGAAGAAACTCCCATGCATTGATGGGTCAGTCTTTGTTTCATTAAAACAAATGCATCAAAACATTCAGAAAAATCAAGAGTGAACACAGGCTGAGAGAGGCTTTGCTGGGAGCAAGGCCAGGTCATTGGTCCCAACCAGGAAAATCCTGGGGAGCAGCAGGACAGGGTTTGTGTGGTGGGAGCCACAGTGTCCTTTAGGAGAATGTAATCTGACTCTTATACTTCTCAGTGATTCCCTGGGATCAGGAGAAGAAAAGCATGCAGAAGCTGGCACGTCATTCATGGGTAGGGGCCTGAGATGGGTACTGTGTCCCTGGGCCACTGTGGTGGCCTGTGCCTCATGCAGACATGGAGGAGGCCCATGTGCTGAGGTGGGAAGGGTCTCGTCCTATGGGCAGAGCAGGCTGGGAAAGTTTCCAAAGGGCTGGGAGGACATTCCTGGCATCAGGGTTGTGGGGCCTCCACCTCATCAGCATACTGAGCAGTAGGAAATGCTGTGCTCCTGCTGGGGACTGTTGTCAGCCCTGAGCCCTGCTGTCTGCTCTGAGGCCCAGAGCTGTGGCTAGCCCTGCCTGCTCTCCGGAGGTGTTCACCTGCTTCCTGCCCTGTGTCCCTCCAGCTGTGAGGAAATGGAGGATTGCTGCAGGGGCTCTTTGCTCTCTCATCTCCCCTCCCTGCTTCTCCTCTTCCAGCTACCTGCTGGGGGCTCTGTGCTTGAGTGTGTCCCTACCCCCTCCATGTGTCTCCCTGGGGTGGGTGAGAGCACCAGAGAGCTCTGCTGGCGTCTCCATCAGGACAGATGGCTATTGGTGGAGGCCCTGGCTCTAGAAAGTTTCTCATGATCTTCGAACTGCTAGTAGTTATCTAAATTTTAAGAAGATTCCTAAATGTAAACAAGAACAGGGAACCATGTCATTTGTCTAATGAGGGGTTTATGTCTTAGAAAATGAAAAATGTGAATTTCACCATGAAAAGTGTGAAAATAAATTTGCCCCAATTTCTTCTTTCCTGGCTTTGTTGGTATCTAAGCAGTTATTCTCTAATTAATTCAATGCACCCACAGCTATTTACAGGGTATGGAGTATGTGTTAGGTAGTAGTTTATGTACAAAGCTGACAGAATCCCTATTTTCACAGAGTTTACATTCTGTCAAGAGACAGCAAACCACAATGCCATATAATCTACATCTGTTAGAGGAGTGGAGAGCATGGGAGAGGGAAGTAGAGCAGGTGGGACAGTTGTGGGGGCAGGAGTGGCTGTGGGCAGGCAGTAGTGCTCCATAAGGTGACCAGTGTAGGCAGCGAGATGGGAACGAAGGTGTGGAGGAGGTGGGGCACTAGCCTCTGAGGATCCAAATGCAAAGAGTGTCTCTGCAGGGATGAAAAGCCAGAGCAAACATGGCAGAGTGCTTGGATGATCAAGGAGCAGAGGAGGCACATATTGGCTGAAGCAGACTGAATGACAAGAAGAGAAGCAGGAGTTGAGAGTCAGAGAGCTCTGGGAGGTCTTCCTCTTGGGATTTCAGACCATGTGGGGAACTGGGGAGCCATTGCAGGGCTTTGAGCCAAGTAAGGACATGGTTTTACTTACAGGTAAAAGGGTCACACACAAGGAGTTGGGGAGAGGGTAGTCCCAGGGAGACTAGTCACTGTCATCCCCCAGGTGAGACCAACAACTCAGCCACATTCGAGTAGCATGGAGGCGATAAATCACTCTTCAGAGGTCCAGCAGGGCTGGTCCTGCAGAATATTGTTTCGTGGCTTGTCCACCCATCCTCAGAAGGCCAAGGGCTGTCAGGAGGTGGTGGTGGAGTGAACCTTCTTTTGTAGCTAGTACTGCTTTGGTGCCTGTGACCTACAGAATAGGGGAAGATTTTAATGGAAGTAGCTGTGGGCTCCAGTTTTTTGTGCACATGGAATTCAGCAGAGGAGAAACACATATAGAGAAATAATAAACTTAGGAGCAGGTGTGGGAAATTGCTGGGTGTGGACCAATGAGCAGAGAGTTCCCACCTAGGCCACAGTAGTGCTCTTTGGTGCATTTTCAGTCCTGTCCTAAGAGGAGGCCGGTTAGAGCTGTGGTTCTCAGAGTGTGGCCCCTGGAACATCATTATCAGCATCCCCACCACCTCCTTAGAAATGCACATTCTTGGACTCACTCCAGACCTACTGAACCAGGAGCTCTGTGGGTGGAGTCCAGCAGTCTGTGTTTCACAGGCCTTCCTTGTGATTTTGATGCCTGGGGAAGGTAAGAACCACTGAGTTAGAGAGTCCTTCATAGAAGGACCTGGAGCCAGGAGCAAGGGCTGCTGAGGGAGTCTCATTGACACCATTTCTGGGTCTCAAAATTGTGGTAAGATGATCTTGCCCTGATTCAGAGTGGTCAGAGCTGAGTCCCTCAGGTCAGGGCCTCCTGCCTGACACTTACCTCCTCCTGCCTGGGACTCCCAACTGACAGTGTGCTCCCTACCCCTGGCCTTTCTCACTCCAATGTCTGTGTCCACAAAGGAGTTCCTGGCCTCACCGGTGAAGACCTTCCTCACCTGGGAGGAGGCCATCCTGCACATCCATAATGTCCAGGCATTCGACAACAGGCTGTATGCCTGCTTCTTTAGACAAGGAAGCTTCTGTGAATCTGTCTGTTTGGAGGTGAAGGTGATGGATGGGTGGTTGACCTATACTAGGTCCTGCAGTATTAGAGTCAGGAGCCACCTCAGAGACAAGTAAATCAGCCCCTTATTTTTCAGATGAAGGAAAGGAAGTCTTTCACTTATTCAGTTATTCAGTATGAATATTTAGAACCCCCTACTAAGTACCAAGTTCCCTTTTAGATACCTGGACACATCAGTAAACCAAAGAAAGGTCCCTGCACTGCAGCATTTATATTCTAGAGGCAAAAAGTAGATAGATGGATGGGCGATAGAGGATGTTAGATGTTATTGAGTAGGCATTTTGAAGAGAGGATATCTGAGGGCGAGAGTTCCAAGAAGAGGAACACGCATGTGAAACACTTGAAGGAGTGTGGCTGGTGAGTCTGGGCAAACAGGGAATCCACATAGTTGGTGAGAGAGGTGAATGGGAGGGTGGGGAGAAGTGACAATCCTGGAATAAAGAGGTGATCCTGGTCCATAGGCACAGAGAAGAGATTGATCATGAAAAGCTCGTGAAGAGGACACACTTGAGCAGGTACCTGAGTGAAGTACATAGTGTTCCAAATAGTCATGCAGGTTGATGGACTGGCCCATCAGGGGCACAGAGAGCATGGTTACTGTGGTTATGACAGTTAACCAAATAGTCCAGAGACTGGAATGTGTGTGCTCTGTGGGGAACAGGTATGGAATTTGGGCTGGAAGCGGACAGGGATTTTGTTGGGCGGGGGTGTAGGCAGATGTCAGCATAGAGAAGTCTTTGTGTGCTGTGTAATGGAGTTTGGATGCAGACCTAAGGAAATTTTAAATAGAACTGTGCAGGGGTTTGCTTTAACAGAATGAAGGATGGAAACTGGAGGCATGGATGTAGTTACACAGAGGAAGTTTGGCTGTCTGACTCCATGTAGGGGCAGCTGGGTGGAAGAGGAGGCATCTGGGTTCACAGAGGTTTGGAAAGTAGACTCAGCTGAGTGTGTAGATTTGGGGACAGAATTTAGAGGTGCAATAGAAGACTACAGAGAGTCCCAGGGTTTCTCTTTGGTTATTTGTTTAATAGTAGTAGAAATATTGATAATGATGTGTTATTTGCCAATTGTAGTCATGTTTCTGTGTAACACACAGCCACAGAAATCTTAGTGGCATATGGCCATTTTTTTAGTTATTTAGGGAGTTTAGCTCATCTAGGCTGTATTTCTCTACTCTTAAATGGGCTTCCTTACACATCTTTGTTCATTTTGGGAAAATATCACTAAACACACATCTCCCAAACCAGAAATCTGCTCCACAGAGACAGTAGAAAAAGAAATAATTTTTATTATTTCTATTTTTTATTTTTTAGCATTAACTACAATGTGATGTGCCTCACAGAGATTCTTTCAAGAGATGTGGAGACAAATTAATCTCACCCTTTTCCATGACCATGCCGTCACAACTCATTACATACATGTTCTCTGGATAGACAGTTACTGGCTTTGAAGTCAGCAGACTTGACAGCACCATTTGTCACAAGCAGTTCATGTTTACTTGGCAATCAGGTTGATCACTATGTTCGCTAATTGGCTTTATCTGGAAGGAAACAAAATTCTCCTATCTTCATGACAGGAAGTATTTTTACATGTGAATCCTGGTGCCCACTAATTTTAGGTTCCTACCCTGGCACAGAAAGGGGGAGAGAAGGGTGCTGTTTTCCTTGGTGTTAACAGTTCAAAGAGAGGATTCCCAGGTCCTTGAGGAAGACATTCCAGGATCACAAAGCTAGCAAAAGTCTTATCTAGTTTTTACATTTCAAAAAGAATAAAAAGCACCCACAATCGCAAGTTTCCTCAAGAAAATGCTGCAAGAAAAGGATGGGAAGGGATTCTCTTTCCTTATATTCAATAGGGACAGTGAGTTCTTACCTTTAATTTTTATTTTTCCTCACAAAGGGTCTTGGCTGGGCTTGCTCACGTGGGTTTTGTCCAGTTGGCTGGTGGCTGGTCTAGAACAGCTTCAGCTGAAAGGCTCTGTTAGATTGAGCATGGGCCTCCTGTGGCAAAGCAATGATGCAAGCAATTTCCAACCTCTGCTAGAGACACATTCCCAAACTCTCAGTGGCTGAGTCACGTCACAGGTTGGAACCCAGAAGCAGAGTGTGAAGGCATTAACAATATGTGGCAGAGGGCACACTGGATGTAAAGAAGGCTGAAGGATTGGGGATATTTTAATCATTGTCCTATCATAGATGGGGTCAATCATGAATTAGTTCAGGATTTGAGTTTGAAGTATCTGTGAGAAATGGCAGAGCTAAACCCCAGGGATGTGGATGTTAGGGAAGGAGCTCAGGAGGTATGTAGGGTTGTCAATGGTAGAAATGATGACCCAGTGGCAGTGGGTGTGCAAGCAGATGCCCTAGAGAGTGTGTGAGGTGAGAAGAGCAGGGAAGGATGGATGCTGGGACCAAATTCCTCCTTCTGTCACTCTGGGCGATGGACCACTACCCTCATGGTTGGGGAGAAGAGCCCACACTCTGTGCCTGCAGCAGTCCCTGTGCTCTTTCCTTCTGTTCCCTGAGGCAGGGCTACTGTTTTGCTCCCTGTAGAGGCCACTCCTCAAAGAGGCCCAGAATGCAATGCTGTCCCTGAAGTTGTGCACAGGAAGACTCTACTGGGATTCCTGGATTCTCCAGCTTCTCTCTTGCAGGTATGGGCTCTACCCCTCAAGTGCACATCCAAGACCCACAGGAGGATGGGGTCCAAGTGCTGTGCATGGCCCTGGGGTGGTTCCTGAAGCCTCAGGTGTAGTGGAGAGCTCTCAGAGGGGAGAAGTTCCTGGTATTCTCTGAGATATATGCCCAAGACAGTGGGAGGCTGTTTAGTGTGGAGGCTGCTCTGCTGGTGAGGAATAGCTCTTCAGGCAATGTGATCTGACACGTCTTCAACCTCTTCCTGGGCTAGGGGAAGGCAATGGCTTTTTTCATTTCCAGTCAGTGCTCTTTCTGGGAGGGAGGGGCAGGTGTTCCTGGGTGTGCTTGCCTGGTCTGTTCTGGTCTGCGTCCCTGACAGGGTCTCTGGCTGGGCACAGAGGCCTTCGTTCCTAGGGTCTCTCCTTGGAAGCCAGCTTTCAACGTGAGCCTGAACTTGCTGATGCTCTTAACCCTTGGGGCTGCCTACCACACCAAGAGAGAACATACTGCAAAGTGGCAGGAGATGCAGGAACTGGAGAAACTGCACTAGGACAAGAAAAAGACTAAAATACAAAGGAAAATGTGCTGAATGCCAAAGGTAAGGCAGGGCAGGGACCACGGCCTGTGAATGTGGAAGCTGGTATGGAGGTAAAGTGGACAGGAAGGCCCTTGGCCTGGGCAGGTGGCCAAGTAGGTTCATGGAGGACAGTTGGAGCTGTGGAGCCTCAAGGGGTCTGGAGTTAGATCTTTTTATAGGATACAGAGAGATCTTTTGGTGTGTTTTCCAGGTGTAGTCCTTACTGTTCTTAGTGATGGAAATTCATGCCCAATTTTCACTTTCTTTCAGATGATCTGCAAGCAGATCTTGGTAAGTTCTGTTCTTTCTCCAGAACTTTCTGCATCCCCTTTGTAGGAGATGTTCTGGTTCTCAGCTCACCGTTTCCTGTGTTGCCTTTCAGACTGGAGGAAATCCGTTTACCTGGCTGGTGAGTGACTTTCCAGATAGCCTTGTGTCTTCCATCTTAATTAAGCCAAGAGGTATCTCCTCTCCTTGTGCCATGCAGAGGTATGTGGACCCTTCCCTGGGCGCAGAAGTGGAAGCTGGTGGGAGGCAGACCCTGCTCTGTGAGCTTTCCCTGATCTGTGCCACTGTTTCCTAACCAGTGCTTGGGAATCTGGGGGTGATGGTGGTCCCTGTAGTTTGTTATGCATCTTGGCTTTATTCTAATGCTGACCTACTCACCACACTGCTTGCTTTTTAGCCTTTAATATAACTAGTTCTGTTAGCACCTGGAATCCAAAAGCCAGACACTCTAAAATTTTATTTAAGAAACTATAGAAATTTATATATTATATTATTTATAGAAATAAATGGGGTTCATTAAACAAAGGGGTGGTCCTGACCACATAATTCCAACCAGGGAGAGTGTGTTTTCTCCAGTTCCTGCAAGATGTGGTCACAAACTGGTGGGTAGAGGACTGGAAAGACTATGTGTAAGAATGTGGTGGGATGAACTGTCGATGCCCCAAAATAGCGATGTGTTATCTGAGAAAGATTGGCCACCTTTACGCCAAAGCTCACCTCACATCTCTGTCCTGAAGTCATCCTCCCTTTGACTTCTTTCTTAAATACCTGGGCCTGAGCTTGGGCTATGATGATCCATGACTTTATTCCCTGATCAGCGACTCATCCTGGAACACTTTGCAAGCAATCCTGACCTCTAGGCTTCCTTGACCAGTCCCCAGCCACAGGTCCAGGCTCCTACAACTACTGATCACTGTCTGACTCCTCCCTCTCATTCAGTGTATTGGCTGTCTCCTCCATCAATTCCTCTTCCCCTTCTTCATCTCCTATTCTGGGTTCCTCCCTTTATCCGGGTTCTACAACTGGGACCTCCCCCCACCATCATGGGCCTCTCAGCCCCCTCAGGTTGCTCATGGGCCCAGCTGACACCAGAAAGTCCCAACAGTAGCTGCCCAAACAGTTGTTGCCAACAATGTCACCTACATTGTCCTCTTTCACTCAGGATGCTCCCTGGATACCTGCAAAGTACTCACTGACCAATGGCTGCCTCTATACCCATGCAGCCCCTGATTATGGTTTTGCCTCCCCAAACCACCCACCCCGAAGCTTCTACCTCAGCTAGGGCTGTCTTCTGAAGCTTGCTCAATGTAGCTCTCTAGTGAGCAACCCCTGGGCAGGCCATGTCACTATGGTGCACTACCCACACAGCACCATGGGTATAAGGAACAATCTTAGCACTGGCCAATGAGTGACTTCAGCCTGGGGACTGTTTCCATATAGAATGCTCTTTGATGACTGCTGCTCTGACTCAAACTCTTCCTGACATGCACAGCTTGGTCCCAGCAGCTGGAGCAGTTCGGCAGGGAGAGCCCAGCAACTAGCCTTGTGCAGGATCTCCCATGTTTTCAGAAGGGCCTGGATTTTTATGCGGTGAGGGAGTAGTGAATGACCTCCAGGACTCCCATGCTTTCAACCACCAGAACTTGTCCCACTGTTCCTGCCATGGCTTAGGACCCAACATGATCCTCCCAGGAGAGTCCTCCCTAGGTTTCTCTAAGGAGATTGTGGCAGAGTTGGCTAGATTGCCTGACGTGAGGTGTCAACAGCCTGGCTGTGGCTGGGTTGGGGCTGGAGGAGGAGCTGGGCATGGAACAACTGGGCCTGGATGGGCTCCACATGCTGAGCAAACCTTGTGCCCTGCTCTGTGATCCTGCTGTGTAGGATTCATTCTGCAGTGAGTAGCCGTAGTGAGGGTTTTCTCAGCATCATTCTTCTTTGACCTTGGCCCCATCACTGTCCCTTTTCTCCCTTTCCCCTGGACAGTAGAGACTCCACTCTGCCTCCAGATCCTCTTTCTAACATGAGGAAAAGCAAGGGGTTTGCCCAGGTGACCCCTAAATTCCACACAAGGGGTGTGTCTGGGGAGCTCAAGGGAGGGCCTAATGCACTTGTAACTTGTAATTCAAGATTTGCTTCAGTAATAAATAAACATAAAACCTCATTTTCAAATGGCTTCACTAGTGAATTCTAACATTTATGTTTATTTTTAGTAAGAACAATAGTTTTATTTCTTATATAAAATCAGTTAATACACAGGTAGTGTATTATTAGTTACATAGTGACTCATCAGTTGCAAGTGACACCCAGTGCTCATTACATCAAGTGCCCTCCTTAATGTCCAACATCCACTTACCCCATATCCCCACACACCTTGCATCCAACACCACTGTTTGTTTCTTGTAGTTAAGAGTCCCTTATGGTTTGTCTCCCTCTCTGATTTTGTCTTTTTTTTTTCCTTTCCTTCCTTCCCCTATGTTCATCTGTTTTGATTCTTAAATTACACATATGATTGAAATCGTATGTTATTTGTTTTTCTCTGACCTACTTCACTTAGCATAAACCCTCTAGTTCCATCCACATCCTTGCAAATAGTAAGACTTCATTCTTCTCATGGCTGAGTAATAGTCTATTCTTTTATCTATAACCACCTCTTCTTTATCTATTCATCTGTTGATGGACATCAGGGCTCTTTCCATACTTTGGTTATTGTGGACATCAATGCTATAAACATTGGGGTACACGGCCCTTTCAAATCACTACACTTGTATCCTTTGGAGAAATACCTAGTAGTACAACTTCTGGATCATGGGGTAGCTATATTTGTAACTTTTTGTGGAACCTCCATGCTGTTCTCCAGAATGGCTGTACTAATTCGCAATGCCACCAACAGTGTAAAAGGTTTCCCCTCTCTCTGCATCCTCACCAACATCTTTTGTTTGCTGAGATGTTAATTGTAGCCATTCTTGCTGGTGTGAGGTGGTGTCTCATTGTGGTTTTGATTTACATTTCCCTGATGCCAAGGGATGTGGAGCAATTTTTCACATGTCTGTTGGCCATTTGTATGTCTTCTTTGGAGAAGTGTCTGACCATGTCTTTTGCCCACTTCTAGACTGGATTTTTTGTTTTTAGGGTGTTGAGTTTGATAGTTTTTTTATGGATTTTGGATACTAGCCTTATATCTGATAAGACATTTGCAAATATCTTCTCCCATTTGCAAATATGTTCGCCCATTCTGTACACCGTCTTTTAGTTTTCTCAACCTTTTCTTTTGCTGTGCAAAAACTTTTCGTCTTCATGAAGTCTCAATAGCTTATTTTTGCTTTTGTTTCCCTTGTCTTTGAAGATGTGTCTAGCAAGTTGTTGCTATGGCTGAGGTTAGAGAGGATCCTGCCTGTCTTACATTTAGCACTTTAATCCATTTTGAGTTTATTTTTGTGTATGGTGTGAGAAAATGGTCCAGTTTCATTCTTCCAGATGTGGCTGTTCAATTTTCCCTGCACCATTTATTGAAGAGACTATCTTTTTTCCATTGGATATTCCTTCCTGCTTTGTCAAAGTTTAGTTGGCCATAGAGTTGAGGGTCCATTTCTGGGTTCTCTATTCTGTTCCAATGTTCTATGTGTCTGTTTTTGTGCCAATACCATGCTGTCTGGATGATGACACCTTTGCAATACAGCTTGAAGTATGGAGTTGTGATGGATGCCACCAGCTTTGGTTTTCTCTTTCAGCATTCCTTTGCCTATTCGGATTCTTTTCTGGTTCCATACAAAATTTAGGATTATTTGTTCCAGTGCTGTGAAAAATGTTGATGGTATTTTTGATAAGGATTCCATGGAATATGTAGATTTCTATGGGTAGGATAGACATATCAACAATATTTGTTCTGTAATGCCTGGGTGGCTCAGTCAGTTAAGCATCTGCCTTTGGCTGAGGTCATGATACCAGGGTTCTGGGATTGAATTCTGCATCAGGCTCCTTCCTCAGTGGGGAGCCTGCTTCTCCCTCTGCCTGCCACCCCCCCCTCCTTTTGTGCTCTCTCTCTTTCTGATAATTAAGTAAATAAAATTTTTTTTAAAAGATTTTTAAAAAGACAAAGTGAAAACCAATATTTGTTCTTCCAATCCATAAACATGGAATGTTTTTCCATTTCTTGGTGTCAGTCTCAATTTCTTTCATGAGAGTTCTATCATTTTTAGAGCACAGATTATTTACCACTTTGGTTATGCTACTTCCTAGGTAACTTATGATTTTGGGGTTTTGGTGCAATTGTAAATGGATTGATTCCTTGATTTCTCTTTCTTATTTCTCATTGTTAGTGTGTAGAAATGCAACTGACTTCTGTGCCATGATTTTATATCCTGCCATTTTGCTGATTTGCTGTATGAGTTGTCATGATTTTGGGGTGGAGTTCTTTGGGTTTTCCACAAAGAGGATCATGTCATTCATGAAGAATGAGAGTTTGACTTCTTTGCCAATTTGGATGCCTTTTATTTACTTCTTATTTTTTAACTTTAAAACTTTAAAAAACATTATGGCTTTATTTTTTATTTATTTATTTAATTTATTTATTTATATTTACTATTTTATGTTTTTGTTGTCAGATTGCTGAGGCTAGGATTTCCAGTACTATGTTGAAAGACAGTGATGAGAGTGGACATCCCTGTCATATTCTGGACCTCAAGGGAAAAGCTCTCAGTTTTTACCCATTGAGAATGATATTTGCTGTGGATTTTTCATAGATAGCATTTATGATATTGAGGTATGTCCCCTCTATCCCCCCACTGTGGAGAATTTTAATCAAGAAAAGATGCTATATTTTGTCAAATGCTTTTTCTGCATCTATTGAGAAAATCATATGGTTTTTTGCCCTTTCTTTTATTAGTGTAGTGTATTACATTGATTAATTTGCAGATGTTGGATGACTCTTGTAACCCAGGAGTATATCCCACTTGGTCGTGGTGAATAGTCCTTTTAATGTACTGTTGGATCCTGATGGCTAGTATCTTGGTGAGAATTTTTGCATCATGTTCATCAGGGATATTTGTCTGTAATTTTCCTTTTTGGTGGGGTCTTTGTCTGGTTTTGGGATCAAGTTAATGCTGACCTCCTAGAATATTTTGGAAAATTTCCTTCCATTTCTACTTTTTTAAAACAGTTTCAGAAGAATAAGTATTTTATTTTATTTTATTTTATTTTATTTATTTGACAGAGAGAAATCACAACTAGGCAGAGAGGCAGG